TATATATATATATCTAATTCATTTTCTTCCTCTTCATCATCAAGCAAGCTAAGACATAAAAATCAAATTAAATTGTTTTGAATTTTTTAATGAACTCAATCAAAAAGTCTAAATATAAACCATTAAAGATTTTGATGAGAGGAAGAAGAGTAAATACAAAAATGAGAAAAAAAAAAGATAGTGCCTTGCAAATAATCAATAAATGTATAATTTTATGTATTTCCAATCAAAATTAGTGTCTCAATAATAAAAATAATAATCCTATATTTTGATTTCACTTAATTCTTGTACCATCCTGGCCTTAACATTTCTAAAAATATTGAATTAGTATAGAGCCATCCCTTAAATGCTTCTTAATGTCCTTATATTTAAAACAAATATACAATATTAGATATTGACAAATGTTGCCATCGCCAACACTCATAATTGATGAATACTGACATCCATTGTCGGCTAACACTGTCATTGATCCATTTTGATGCTTGCCATAAACCAACATCGATCCTCATCATCCACTAACGATAGCACAAGCACTATGCATCACCACCACTTAAAATTGATCGACCTTAAATATTTGAATCAGCCAAATTTATCATCCTAATAACTTAAAAAAAATTGTTCGATTCTTTGTCAATTAATAGTTGACTTCTATTAAAAATTTTTGTAAATCATCATCTCCTCTCTTATACAAAAGAGCAATTACATATATGCTATTAGTCAACTATCATTTTATAAGTGCCAGTATCCACCGTCTTTCATATGTAGATTTCAAACATCATTCTTTCCAATCATCTGTTTCTTTATATGTAAAGAAACGAGACGAGTCATTATGTCAACAACATTCCTATTTGATCGACATTTAATCCATATTTAATTCCATTATTTACCAGGCATTGTAGTGAATGACCCACAACTAAGGCTGTCAAAACGACTTGTTCTTTGCGAACAGTTCATGTTCGGTTGGTTAAGAGCTCATGTTTGATTCGTTAGCTAAGTTAACGAGTCGAACACGAATATCTTTTTTGTGCTCGACATATAAACGAGCGGAACACGAACAAAAATTTGTTTGTTCGTGTTCGGCTCGTTTTGGCCCGAAATACAACTAATGAATTATATATATATATATATATATATTGATGAGTAGTATTTAAAAAAAAATTAATTGACTAAAGACTACAAAGATTAATAATCAATTAAAATTATTAATTAAAAAAATGGAATAAAAATTTATTAAATTATATTTAAATGATGTTTTAATATAAACAATAAGAGTTAACTCTTGCCCCTACCCTTAACATCTTACGGTTGTGTTATTAGAAAAATTAGTCTATTTGTTCGCGACAGCT